GCTTAAGTGTTCCTTTCAGAACAGCAGAGCTTGCAGTGGAAGGGACACTACAGGATATTAAGAGACACGTGTATATTAAGAAAAGGCCATGGGAATCCTGAGAGGCAAGCTCAAGAATGAGTGGAGGCACATGGAATGACTCAAGCCCTTTCCTTTCTCCCATTTTCTTTTGAATATAACCATATAAAAAAAAAATCATTACAGTAAGAGAGACCTATAGAGAATATTTCCAAGGAATGTGAAACACACTATGCTGCATCTAACAGACTGTAACATTTAAAACATGTTTTGCAGATCCTGCAGTTGCTAGATTCGGGTCCTCTTTTTACCTCAATTTACATTTTGACTGAAGTATCTCTTCTCAGGTCTCAAAGAGTATTTAAGTACACTTGTGCTATCTCTTTCAGCAGGAAACCCACAGGTAGTCTCTCTTGCTACAATACAAACAGATTAGCATATCATTTAAGTATACTTATATATTTTCATATCTGATAAATTATATGTGATTTTGAGTGTCTTCCAGTTCTCTACTTTGATCCTGACCAAATACCTACAGGCTCTTGACAAAAGGCAATTCAGTAGTGTTTTGTCCACAAGTTCTAAATTCTCTGCTTAACTGTACCAGTGAAACTCAGCTCAAATTAGCACAGTTGCCATCAAGCAAAAACTGATTAAGTGCAGAGAAAAAAACCCAAAATATTTGAGACCATCCAATTTTCATAGCTTCCTGAAAGGGCAAGTAGCTTGCCTTGGTTGAAATTCCAATGAGGTAGCAGTGGGTGTAGCACATATCTACACCTCAGCACTTGGTCACATTTGAACCTGCATGTTCAGATCCATGCTGAAAATCTTTCAGGTGACTGCTGGGAAAGCAATGGATCATCATCATTGTAGCATCTGAGATCCACTTCAAATGCTACAGAGATGACAGATAGTGTGTGGGGTCTCATGCTAAGGTGCAAATTAAACTCTATAAACTCTTAGAATATGCATATCTGAATTAAAAAAGAGAAGAATGGCAACAACCAAGTCATCCTCACATCTACTCTGAAGTCTCTTTGAGACAGACATGCTCTCATATGAACAAATTTTAAGAAAAATCCTGAGTCCAAAACCAAATACCAGGGAGGAATCACCCAGGTCAACAAAATCCAAACTTAGCCATCAATGCCATCATAGCTAACACAACTTAAGCACCAGGCTACCACGTACCAGCTGATCCAACCGGGAAAGTCAGGCTAGCTGTTCTTCATAGTATCTTTTAAATAATCCTGATGCTAATTGCTGGTTCTGGGTTTTGTTGGTTTTGGGGTTTTTTTGTTTTGTTTTGGTTTGGTTTTTTTAAGGCAAAACATGCCTCAGGAAAATACTACTGGGAACAAGAAAAGCAACAGACTGCACTAAACAAAATTGCAGAAATTTTATTATACTAAACTTCAAGAAAACACCCAACATGCACTCAAAACACTAGGATTACACCCAATGCAGATCTTATTTCAAATGCAAAGATAAATTCTGCTAACGAGTGGTGGAAAGGCAGCACCTTTCTCCATTCAAATTTTTCTTCCCTAAGGCGATAGAACACTCTCTGTCAGATGTCAGAGAGCATTTCTTAATCCCACTACTCTCTAAGACAGCTGGCAGGCAAAGGAATTTCTGAAAATGTGGCCACAGAAATCATTAACTTCATCTGTTAATGCTGACTTCTCTTCACAATCCGTTCTGCACGTTGATAATTACACAGAATAAAGTTGCAATTTCTCCCTCTTGCTGTCTTAATGATATTTTCTCTTTTGACTGTCTTAGACTCTAAGCTATTTGCAGTAGGAATTCTGTTTTTCATATTCGCCACAGAATTTCAGGCCTAGTCAAACTTAAGATGCTTGGCTGTTATCACAATATACTTCTATGACTAAGTCATTGTTTTCTCTTTCATCTGCTGAAGGACTCACACATGAACTTCCTAGAATGCCATCCTCTACATGGCTCCTTTTCAGTACTGAAAAGAAATGTTGTGATTTTCCCCATTAAGTCATGTGTGCCTGTAGGACGTCACCATGGCCTTGGCAGCTCATTATCTTAATAAATCTGTCTCATCTGAAAGCATTCATTTTAAGTTTTCCCTTCTCTTCACACAAAAAACATTTCCAATCCTTAAATTGAAATCTTATGAGATTTTGAAGACCTTATTACCTAGAGCTGAACACAGCTTTGGGGAAAGCCCTGGGGGATTCTAACATATTTCCAATGGCATTGAAGAGATTGGGCACTTTTTAGTTGCTTTCATTCTTTCTGATTTAACTGAGGCAAAAGTGGAATAAGCATTGAAGAAACACTGAGTGAAAAACTCAGAAGCAGACTACAAAAGCTTACCAGAACTTTCCGGGAATATTTTGGTCTGCAAATTCACCTGGAAATGGATTGAAAACTGGATTTTTTCTCAAGAGGGTTTGAGACAAGCAAGTCTCCCTGACGGTATCTGCATTAGCTGAATAACAAGGAATAAAGATACCTGCTAGGCAATTTTTGCCTGGTACTTCTCCAGGAGACTGGAGGCTGTTATTTGTCTGAAAACCAGCTGTAGTCCATTTAGATTTCAGACCTTTCGTATAACAACTAAAGAGAACATTTCTTATTTATGTTTTAAAACTGAAATTTCATTTCAAGTCAGCAGAACCTAAGCGCAATGGTAACTCAGTGTGATGATTAGATAAGATTAACTTTTTAAAATTTTTCTTTTCATAAAACTTGGCAGCAGCTGTGCCATACACAAATATTCCTACTCCAGACTAGGAACAAGTAAGCTTATACTGATAGCAAGTGCACACAGTAGACAGTCTTCTGAATAATTAAAAAGAACTGATGTTTCTTGTTTCTATACAGACTTGCCTTTCAGCTAGAAAACCCTCTGTTGGAAGGTCTTAGGTAGCCCAAGAGAAGTATGTAATGTCCTTCTGTGAAGTTTACCTGCAGCTGCATAAATGCTTCTCCAGCTCTTCCTGTACCTGAGAGGGAAACTAGATCTGCTCATCAACAGCCACAGAGGGATGGGAAATAATATGGACCCATACACAGACCAGTCTTTCCAACACTGACAACTCATTCATGGGGTCAAACTGGTTAACAAATGAATACTGAATTGGAAATGAATGTACAGATTCCTTTTTTTTCCTTTTTTTTTTCCTTTTTCTTTTTTTTCCTTTTTTTTTTTTTTTAACTTCTCATTCATCTGAATAAATCCACCACTAAAACATGGTAGTAATTGTGGTCTGGCCCACATAAACTCCATTTCAGGGTATGGGATTTCTGATGATTTAAAAATTAGGACTATCCCACAATTTACACAATGTTTGCTGCATTTGCTAAAAAAAATCGGTTGTTCTTTTCAACTGATATTGAAATGTTAAAAGGTATTTAAAAAGTATTCTATTGTTATCCCTGAATAAAACGCTGCCATAAGACACTGTTATCACAGTCAGACAGAAACAAAGTAATTCTCATTTTTGAATGATTTTTTTAAACATTGTTCAAATTATATGGCATTTATTTTTTCCTATAAATGGGCAGAAGAACATGACTTTTAAATATAATTTGTTGTTGAAAAAGGAGAGCAACCCATTAACCATGCAACTATGCTTTTACCCTGAAACCATTCCTTTTATGTATTCCAGTTGCTTATTAACTAAAATCCCAATCAGACTTCTAAGAATAAACCCAACATTTTTATTTCATTGTCATGTTTTGCATCCAATAACTTTCCAGTCCATATTCCTGTAACTGGAAGCCAGTTCAACGCTGCTGTTTCCCCCTCAGCAGAACGGGAGGTACCTGCTGTTTCTCCATCTACCTGTTAGTGAAGTATAACTTCATCCTCACCAGGCTACAGAGCACAGCTCTGCTTTCAGAGAAAGTTAACAGAGCTGTGAAAATAGGACAGGCAGGACCTAACTCTGACAAACATGACATGACAGGAATTACTCAAGAGTCAGCAAAAAAATAATTACTTCCATGGCTATCTGTCTATGAAAGCTGGGTTTGCTTCACACCAACTGCTGGTGTCTGCTGATTCCAGATTATCATGGTGCCTTTCTGCCAACTTGCTGGAAATAATATGCCTTTTTGTTTCTGAAAGTGGAAGATGTGTTATGCTGCTGCATCTTATTCTCATGGGCAAAGCCATCATGGGCTTGGTTTAGCCTGTGATAAACAGAAGGCTAAGCAGACACCTCCTCTTTTGTTTTCATTTTCTAATATTGCTTTTACCACCTTGGAAATGGCAAAAATAATATCGCTCGACAAGAAGAACAAGATGGAAGGGAAATACAATTTAATTGACACAGATCTCATGCAAGTAAAGGGAAGTCCATTTTTAAATCAAGAGAATCTGATTTCAGGCCAATTTGGAAACCACAGCAGATAAACGGTTGCCTTAAACTGGGTGAGTCAAATTCTTCATTTTGTTTCAAAGAAAAAAAAATGTTGTATTGACTCAACTCTGAGCCCATACAGCATTGAGATGAATCCAAAACCATGATGCATTAGCAAGCAAAAGATTATGATGTCACCACAAATGTTATGAAGTCACAATTTCCAAAACATGAAAGCAGAAAAACAGATTTACAGGAACAATACTGGCTAAGTTAGGACTTTTTTCTTTTTTTCTTATTTTTTCTTTCAAGGATAATAATTAAATCTATCCAATTTGCAGTCATAATGCTTGTTTTCTATATTTCTGATTGGTATGACATAAATATTATATAAAATGGAATGATTACAGGTTTCAAAGTAACTTAACTGACTGAAATAATTCTGTGCATCTGTTTTTCATTTTCAATTTTGTTCATATCAGTAGTGTGCTGTTTTCATTCAGTCATACCTCTGGGATTCAACTTTTTGCTTCTATCTTTACAGTCCTGGTATAGTCATTTTATGGTAAAAGGGATGGGGTGGAGGAGAGGAACAAATAATAGGTGAAGCTGCAGCAAATGGCACAAGGATACAGTCCCTTCCTGGAAAGAGGATTTTGTGGCGAACCATTTCTCCCATAATGCATCCCACAGACCATATATCCACTAGAACAGCAGAGACAGGGAAGTGAAGAAGGAGGGAAAAAAAGCAAAGTTAACTACGACATTTCACTCCTAAAGGAGGGGAAAAAGAGCAGGTTGATCAGAACAGTACAGTTTGTTTTGTGGTTTTGTTGGGTTTCTTTTTTGTGTCTCACCAAAAGCTAAAATAAATAAATAAGTAAAAGCTGTGTCAGTCAGCTCAACAGTAGTTAGTAACAACAGTGGAAAAAGTTTAAAATCAACATTTTGTGTAAATGTCCGGAGCTAGCAAGTAAAGATCAAGTAATAACTGCACAGACCCATGGTATACAGTGGATTTATGGTGAAAAAAGAAGTCTTTTTTATTTTTTTTTCCTCAGAAAAAAATCCAAACCCAGATAATGATAATCTGGAATACATCCTACTGTCAGCCAGGCAGTTTCTAGACTTTGTCCTGCAGCACTGAGTCTCTCTGCAGCAGTATACAAAGGAAACTGCTCACCCAAGTAAAGGCCATGTGGATAAGTACCACCCTTAGGGGTTATTTAGAACTGCTTCAGCAGCTGTACCTATGTCTCATCTCTAGTTACCTATCTAGATGTATCTGTCTGGAAGAACTGGAGAGTGTGGCCTGAGTGGACTATGCTTTGTACTGCATAATATGGTAAAACAAATGTTCCTCAGGATAAGTACCAACAATACTATGAGCATTTCTTATTCCTGATCCTGCCTTCTTCAGCTTTTAGATGCAATATGCACAGCTATATTATCTGCTTAACTTTGATGGGGTTTTTTGCCCCTTAGGTCTTACAAGAAAAAAAGGCTGTACAGATACTGTGGCATAGTATGCACAGAAAAAAAAAATCCCCTGAATTCTGTGCAAAGAGGAAAAAACTGCTTTCAAATGCTTTAAAGGACTATGTTGTTTCTCAGCTTCAAATCCTCATTTTTTTGTCATGTTTGACCTACACAACCAGTTTTCTCCTCTTTTTCTTCCCCCTTTTTATCCTTCAAGAGCAATTCAAAACAAACCAAAGAAACAAACAAACAACTCATTTCTTGGTAAAACAAAATAAAGGTGAAATGTTCCATTTGGGAAAAGGAGGGTACAGGTAAAAGGGGCATGGGACAGCAAAAGCATGCCTGAGGCAGTGGCAGAGTTTTCTTCATAGTGACAGTTTTGGGACCTTCTACAGAAGTGCAGCAAACTGGTTATAATTATGCATCTTTAGCCAACCAAGTGCAGAAAGAAAATGAAAGCAGTGAACAGTCCTTATACAGGCAGTGTACATCGTTAGAGGAAAAAAGTAGGGGAGCTTCAGTAATGTGGCAGCACAGGCCAGAGCAGGGAAGCAAAGAACAACCCTTTCTGTTGACTTCCTTGGGAGCTGGGTCAGAGCCTCCAGGCAGAACAGCTCCTCTGACAGCTGACCTTCATTTTCAAATATTTTCTTTTCTTTCTCTGTTTACTGGATTTTGTCTTTGTACAAGCAAGACAAGGTCATTCATCTTAAGCCAGATTCATTGACCAGGGAAGTCAAAGGAAGTCTTTATGGTGACTTCAATGGGCATCTGATCGGGGCCTTTGGATGTGGCAAACGTTCTTAGAACCTTCCCAGCTGTGTACTTTGTCACAAAAGCATGTCTAACTTTTTCTTGGTGAGGTTTTAATCATGTGAAAAGCAAATGCTTTCTCTGTCCTTTCATGGACAATAACATCAACAATGGTAATCATCTACTAAATGTCTGGAGAAAAAAAAAAGGCAAAAGAATTAATTTGACAATAGAAGAAACTCTGGATTTTGACTAAGGAACTATCTAAAGGGTGCTGAGTGTAGTTCAAATTTCTAATGGCGCAGCAAAAATTTCATTTAGGAAATAATTTACAGAACATTATTCCTTTTTCAGAAATTATTCTCTATGCTTAGACTCTGCCTAACAAGTCTTTAGTTTTTAGAATTTTATATTAAAATGTATACTTTTAATTCATAAACATTACAAATAATTCATAGAGGGACTTGCTAATTTCAGAAGAGGTCATGTGATTATGCCTTCTTAAGTCATGGAATCAGCTCCCAAAATCTGTCTCACTGCCCTTTACAGGGTGCAGTTGGCTATTAGCAGAAGTTCTCCCTCAGGTTAGCTAACCTCTTCAACAGAAATTAAGTAGGGTACTTTTTAATAAATTCCTGTATTTGCCATCCAAAAGTCTCCTTGTCAAACACAACTGCTAGATTTTGATGGCAGAATCTGAGTCATAGTGTATTCCCTCCTTTCCTGGTCTACCTGGCACTCAGATGCAATTCTCAGTTACATTATAAAATGAGAATCACTTACAAAGCTTTCCCTTCATCCCCTGCAAAATGTGAGTTCTTCCTTACCTATTTCTCTATAGCAAGCCCCCCCACCTGCTTTTCACAATCTTTCCAGGGACCAAGATCTCTCACAGACTATTCAGAGTAAAATTCTATTTACTTCTAGGGAGATTACATACAAATTATATGCACTTTCTTTTAGTTACAGCTTTTTCCTCTTCTCTGCAAGCCTACCTGTCATTAAAAAAAAAAAGACTCAAACTGCAAAATTTATACCTAGATCTTGACCACATGAAACCTGTCAGTAAAACCTGGGACTTTGGTAAAATCTATCATGAAGAAGGAAATCATTCCTGAAATTCAGATCTAGTTCTGGATTTGGACAAATTCTGGAAGAGTTAGGAATTGCTATTTCAGCTTGTACCTCTTCTTCTTCCTTTAAACAGCTCAGAGACCCAGACTCAACTTTGGAACACATCACTCATTCAGCAATTCCAGTGGTTCCCACACTCTTTCAAAGCCACAGGAGCCAAGGATACTCTAGTCAGAAAGAGCTAACCGTATTTGTTAAGGTCAACCACAACTAAGAAGGAGTTTCTTATTACTCTGCAATCCCACACTGATATATTTACCAGCATTACATCCCAAATACATTCTGTAGCTGCAGTGAGAAACTGCTCTAACTCAAGATGTCATTTCTATTTACATTTTCTCTTTCAGGTGCCCCTTTCAACTGTAGAAGCAGACCTTGCACTTCAGGTCACACTGTGCTGTGAAATTGCAGCCCTACCGTTCTCCTTGTAGCCCATTCCCAAGATGACCTCTGGTGCTCTGTAGTAACGTGTCACCACATATGGAGTCATCATGAAGCTAGTGCCTGCAGTCCTGGCCAGTCCAAAATCCAAAATCTTCAACGTGCAGTCAGATTTTACTACAATATTACTTGGTTTTAAATCCTGCAAGAGACAATGAAAAGACACATGACTGTCATTAATAAAGCCAGGCACAGCTGTTATATAGATTGATCCTTTAGGTCGCCCTTCAAATATTCTTTTACTCTTCTGACACAGTTACTACCAGAAATACCTGTAAATACACAGCAAAATTTTGGTACTATTTTCTATAGCAAACTGTTCTGGAAGTTGTTCTAACTTGGCATACTGTTGGGCTTTACCTGGATAGCTTTACTTGGATAGCAGGAGGCTACTGGTGTTAAATTAATTGCATTTAGCAATTAATTCAAGATTAATTAGTTCAAGAAACTAGGATTAATATCAGAGTACTGTTTGGATTTTTATTTTTTTTTTAATGCTGTGAGCCTAATAGAAACTTTCCAACTGTACATGTGGAGATACCTTAATGCTTCATTTGTAATAATTCAACGCATCCTTTGGTGGATGACTATCTGAAAGCCAAATCTATCATCCCTTGCTAAACACACAATATGCTAAGAAATGAGACTTCTGTGTATTGTAAAGCAACATCCACTTTGTAACCCATTTTATCAGCCCTTCTTTTCCAGTTCTCATAGCGGAAGGGAAATATTTTTGGATTTGTTTTTTTTTTAAATCTGGAAATTCTAAATTAGTAAAAGCACATTTCAATAAAGAAGTTAATTCAGGGTATTTTCAATCCATTCAAAATTCCCTCCTGCTCATAGTCACATGGACTGTTCCCCTCTGCTGTCAACAATCACACACAGAGTTGCTTCTGGCATTCATAAGCAGGTTCCATATCCTTACCAGGCACAGCACTCTGAGGTGGAGAGGCAAAATGAGAGGATGCATTTAACATAGACTTAGTAGTCTTTTACTTTGCTTTATTACATGCAAATGATGGCAAACATGAATTTCATATGCCAAGACCTCTCTGGATCCTGACCAAGGAATACTTGGACCAGACTACAATGTCAACTCAAAATCTGAATGTCATGCATGGAAGATACAGCCAGCTGCACGGTCAGGAAAAATAACATTTATCTACACATTTCAGAGACCATAACTGCTTTGATGATTTCCAGTGCTTATTATTTGATTATTATTTATTTTTAATAAACACATTAACCTAACACAAGCATGGAGTTACTCTGCAAAGGGCATAGGCTAAGACTCTTAGGCTTATAGTTATTGTACTGGGAGGCAGGGCTTTGATCCACAATACACAGGAAAGTCAAGTGGTGTTCAAAATCTTCATGATTATTTCACATGCTGCCTTTAAGTTTTAAACCAAACTGTCCCTTACCCTGTGAATGATTCCTGCAGAGTGAAGATGCTTGATACCACAGAGCATTTGGTACAGTAGATAAGACATTCGCTCATGGTCTAGCTCCATCTGAATAACCTGGCACAGATTGGCATCCATTAATTCCATTACCAGGTAACTGAATGGAAAAGCAAAGTCATAGGGTTATTATCAATGTTGAAGAGGAATCACAACATTATCTCAAATAAGTAACAATGCCTTTCCTAGCTTCAAAATTCATTTTATTTGTGATGACTGTGAGTAACACAGCTGGAGACTGGGCCTGCTCACAAGGGTGCCATGGGGGTGTTTGTATCTCACTGCAGAGACACCGCTCTTTTTGCATCCCAGCAAAACTGGTGGATTATTGGCCCTTCCTTGGTGCGTTTCCCATGACAGAGACTATAACCTACATGGGCAATCAGGCAGCACAGCATGGAAATGCACAGAAAACAAAATAGCCACAAGCACCAAATGACATAACTGCGTGGCCTTTGAGCATTGCAAGGAATGGCTACTAAAGTACATGTAAGAATCTGAGAGAAACAGAGATGTCTGAGAGGCTAAAATAAGCATCCCCATGCAAAATGCCTCCAAAAATCCTCCTAAGATTGCATAACTTCACGAAATTCTCATTACAACTAATAGGTTACTGCTAATATCAGACTACAGAATGGCATACATTTCCACCCAATGTAAAGAGAATATGGAAAAGCCAGAAAGATAAAAGGAGAACTATATAAAACACAGACTGTTTAAAATTTCATTCACAGCAGGTTTGTACTATGCACAGTAGTGGCTGTGCAATAGTGCAAGGTTCCAACAGAGATGCCAGTTGTCTTCTACACCTGGCATAATTTCCCAGGCAAGTAATTTTACTCAGTCGAAAGTCATACCAAAACAGATATGAAAGCCATTATTTGTCACTTTATAAGTGTCAAAAGATGTCTCAGTATGGGAATGCAGACTGTGTGTCTACCCAGTAGACTCGCACGATCTTGTCTGGAGGTGCTTATAACCTTTGTGTTTTGCTGAGTTATTACATTTAAGGTACAGTATAATGCCCCTAAAGCTTTAGCTTAATTACTGCCTCTGTTACTTACACATCCTGGAACTCCTCCAGAGATTTCTGTGGTGTGAAGACATTTAATAAACTGATAATCTGAAAAGTAAAGTAAGACAAAAGAATGAAGAGAAGTGATACACATAATCAGTCGAATCCATTTTGAAATGTGTTAAAGGATAAACTGTTTTTCACTGCTCAAGTTATATTAACACGTCTCACTGTATGGGTCAGTAAAAATTTGGCAATGTTCAAAATAAAACACCACAGATCTCTAAGATTTCTTCAAGGTGCACTTGAAATGGTCTGAAAGAAGGATAACCAGTGACAAACTAAAATGCTAATGGTGAGAAAGTCCTCTGAATTTTGAAGTTACGGGTTCAAAGACCAAGTTCAGCTCAATCTAGCATAGCAGTCCTTGTGCTACAGTCAGAAATTTCTTATTTATGAGAACTACTAACCTGAGGGTACCAATAATCAAGGACCATCTTATTAAACATAAGTCCTTCCTTCTCTCTGACGTGGCTTTAATTCCTCTCAGGTCACATACACACACACATACACTGGCTGACACAAATTCCACCATGAGAGGTACCACTTTTTAGAAGAAGCACTTTAAAACAGTAGACAAATCCTGAGCAAAGGCATCTTGCATGCTGCAACTCCTTCAACTCCTTTTTTACCTTTTTTTTTTTTTTGGTTCTCTTTGGTTTCTGTTTGATTTTAAATGGACTGGGCTGTTGTAAAGGCACTGAAGAATGTGTGAAACAGCACGGAGGAAACATGTGACCTCACAGATCTGAACTTCTCATGCTTTCCTTCTGTGCAGGTAACAGAGGTAGATGAGATCAGCACAGCTGTCTTGAAGACAACATCTAAATGTCTCCCTCTCCACCTCTATCACCCATCTAGGTTTTCTAACAAAAAGGGTTCAATATTCTTTCTCTTTACTCCACATACTCTGACTGAATCTTACCTCTGCACAGATGCCTTTACAATCCTCTCCTTCCTTTCCACTTCTCTGTACAGACAGATTGAAACTCTGACCCAACCAATGTGGTGCTGCTAGCAGCTCTCATGCAGCACGTTTAAAATTATGTATTTGAAATTATTGCCTCTCCTGCTGCCCTCTGCTCTTTCTAGTCCACTAAAAACTGAAGTGAGAATGCATTATTCTCCTGCCTACAGGGAGAACTCCTCACTTATTCCTGCATTTTCGAATCCCCATTCATTGGTCTGGCTGAGAGTAGCTTCCATCAAGGGAAGAGACAGGTACAGTCCCGATCAACACAGTGGGAATGTAAGGATAAATTAATGCCCAGAAGTGGGGCAGAGGATACTAGAGTGACAAGTCCTGCTGTTTGCCATTTTAGAGTCAGTCCTCTTTCTTTTCATGTGAATTTGGGATAAAGTATAAAATCTCACCTTAACATCACACTTTTCAAGCTTATTTTTGCTTTGCATAAGGAGAAGGAGTCATTGCAGGATCTGAGGCAAGGGTAGACATTGCAACCTGAAAAATTCACTGCTAATGAAAAGGAATGGGCACACAGATATGGCAGCAGGCCATAGGAGAAATTGAGGAACTGGAGGAAAATGAAATCCCTGGGAGATCCCTTGACAATGCAATGTGGCAATCCTGTTATTTCACTACAAAAAAACCAAGTTTCTACAGGCAGGCAGATAGTTCTAACAATAATGGTTACAATTAACACACAGCCCTGGAATAACACTTTTTCTGCAACGTAGGAATATTTTCATTCATTATGTATAATAACTGCGATACAACAGGTAGTGAGTGCAAGAAGTAGGAAAGTCTAGAAGCTGCTTGTGCTGTTTTTTTTCAACAAGATCACTGGGATTAGAAGGAACAGCACAATGTGCTGAAGTTTCAGAGTTCCTGGCTCCACAACATTAGCTTACTCACAAATATATGCTTTTGGTTCTTAATTTTCTTTGGCAGTTTTGTACAACCTATACAAAGCATTTGTATGAGTTGGTTTCAGATGAAGTCCAGAACAAGGAGTGTGCATGGATATTCCAATGCAGAAGACACTGCTTTTGAGTCACAAATACCAGTGGTAAGAGGGTGGAACCAAGATTCCAACAACCACTTACGCATTTCTGGATAAGGAGCTGACAAGAACCCTTTCTGCTCTCTCCTCTTCTACTACCCTAACCCTGCCAGGACACCCACATTTGGCATAGCCTTTAAATAAGCACATGGAACATCCTCACTCTCTCATGTGGATGTATAATACCAGATGGACTGTAGCCCTCAAGCATAATTTACTTTTCATTTCTTTTGTCTTAAAAAGGAACCTAACAAAACAACTTTCTTCCTAACAAACCAATATACACATCACTTCTCCAGCCACCTACTGAAAACTTACATTTTTATGATTCACACACTTCATGAGGACCAGCTCCCTGTAAGCTCGCTTGGCGTGAGTTTGGTTCTGAAATGGTCTGCTGAGCTTCTTAATGGCCACATTTCTGTCAAGGACGGCATCATATGCAGCACTGCAGTAATTACAAACACAGGGGTTATGCATTTTAGAGGGTATCCAGCATTTATCATGGCATATTCCTGAGCCTCAAGTCTACCATTTCCTTTTTTTCCACTGAGAAAGATACTGTTATAAAGGGAAAGAGTTTGTCATAAGAAAAAATAAGACATCAAAAGGAGACATGTAGCACCTCATTTGCAGAAGACAGCATGCACCACTACTTCTGAACTCCAGCTCCATAGGAAATAAACACTTATTTTTAAGGGGTGGGAGAAGAAAATTAAGTAACTTCAAAAAAAACCCAACAAACTGGATGTGACAAAAAGCTATTTCATAAAGCAACTCTCTGTGCATTTGGTGCAGTGGAGAGGCTTTTACTTTTTCTGTCATGATTAAGGACACTTTCACCAAGTGGTTCAATCAACAATTGCCCAATTATCTAGAGTCAAGTTATTTAATCATTCTCTGAGACCATATAATCCAATTCTAATAACATATCTAGAAACACAACCACTTCACAATTTTTTTTTACCATTTCCTGATAATGAAAGAAATTGTTACATATACACAGATACAAATTTTGAAAACATGAAAAAATACAGGTTGTGGTTTGCAAACTGGGCTTTTAAAGCTGGGGTCCTAAAATTCTCCTTAAATTTCTAAATGTTTTGTGCAACCTTCAGTTATAAAAATAATCATTACTTCCTATGCATTGAACCACTTATTTTGGTGGTTCAAATCTGACTACATAAATTTTGACTTCTAAATTCCACAAAGCACACTAAGTCTTAGAAACATTCCAAATGCACAGTGTCCTAAGACCCTCTTCCTGATTTTTTCTTTTACCAAGAACAAAGCAAGACATAACACAAGTTTTCTGCTAATCCATGAAAAGCAGCAGTGTATTTCCCAAGAGATAAATTGACCAAACCACTAGTTGTCCTAAAAATGGCTTTTTAAAGCACCAAAGTAAATATTCAAAACATTGGAATTCTTTTTCATATTAACTCTTGCTTATTGTAGACATTGACTGACCAAGTACAGAGCAGAAAGCATGCAAGCATCAGAAGCTTAGTCACAAAGCCAACCAAAATGTACAAGTGTCAAAATAAGTAAAAGAAAGTGTAGGCAATGTATGTCTTGGGAACCACACAAGAGAAGATGAATCAGAAATATTTCAATTACACCACTTTGCATAAATAACACATCAAATACATCCCACAAACAAGAATAATTGTTTGCTAAAGGTGATGAAGAGTTTTGCAAAGATTACTTTTAGGATCCATTTAGGAAGACTCTTGATAGCAGGGCAAGGGAAGTGATCCTTCTGCACTGCTTATTGCTACTAAGGCCACATCTGGAATGCTGAGTCCAGCTCCAGGCTCCCCAGTACGAGAAAATTACAGACACATTGGAGGAATTACACTGAGGAGCCATGAAGATGATTAGGGACTCCAACATCTATGTCATACAAGGAGTAGCTGAGCAAGCTGGAATTGTTTAGCCTGGAAAAGGCTTAAAGTGAATCTTATCACTGTTCCTAAGTATCTACTGGGAGTGGCAAAGAAGATAGAGCCAGACTCTTCCAGTTGTCCTGAGCAAACTGCTGTAGTTGACTCTGCTTTGAACAGGTGAGCTACACCAGTGGCTCTCCAACACCATCCACTCTGTCATTTGGTAACAATTCTTTATTCTTCTATTCTTTAATAAGGCATATAACTTTTACGACCCAGCTAATATCATGTTAGGCACATGCATAAACAAAGTTAAACTAATGCACTCACTAGTTATGCACTCACTAGTTAAACCACATAAGAAGCAGCCTAAGCAATAAGGCTATCAAAGATCCAGCCTGACTTGACTTTCCTCTCTCCACGGAATTTCACTCAACTGACCCTTGTGTTAGGAGGAACATAATATGTGATTTACACTCTAATAGTACATAGCAGAAAGCAAATCTCCTGTCAGAATCGTGTCTCTCATTCTGATTTAGTTCAGCCACAACACGGCATCACATAAAGGCCACAACATAAACACCCCTGAATTCCATTAAGGAAGTAATGAACAAAAAAATGCAAAGCCAAAGGATTTTAAAAACATGATCTTTCAACAGTTAAATATTTTGTCTCTATTGTTCATGGATGTATATTGAAAATACACTTGAGCAGACAATCTCTCAGCTAATCCATACTACTTGATCACCAAACTCCTTTTAAGACGAAAAGACTACATGAGACTCATCCGAGCTGGGTAAGAGTACTTTAAATAGTTTTAAGAATCTTTTCTCATATTTTAATCTCATTAGTTACATCATAAAATTACTGAGTTAGATTGTCAGAAAACACTGAAAGTTTGTCTGGGCAAACATTTTCGTCAGTTTCTGACCACTGTTTTTCTGAATTTTCTCTCTCTGTCAAATCAGAAAATCAAAGGCTTCTTTAAACCTTTGGCTTTTATGATTGATTCCCAGTCCTTTACATACCACGGAGGAACTAAAGCAATCCTTTGTAGAGGGATATTTACTTTGGGACACAAGGATCTTGACTGCAGTTCTATCATTGTCTTCTATTAAATGGAAGGTGTCCAACTACTTGACAAAGTCGATATGCAAATTCATTGCACTGGGTAAATTAATAGCCTTGATGATTTTTTTTGCTATTCACCAGAGAGAAGTTTTTGTTTACAGGCAGCCAATTATGCATTTTACTATGATAAAATACAAATACCACATCCAGGCCCTCTCTCTGGTGCTTGCTACACAAAATCCTTCCCTTGGAACACCAAAGTTAGCATTGATGACACGCCTTCTTAAGATAAACTTCAATCACTGGCAGAACAGGTGATTCAAGGGAGCAGGAATAAGAGGGAGAGAGTAATGAACATCTGTGAACTGCGACGAAAAGGCTGAGTGTAAAAGTCAGTCTCAAGGTCTCAAATAACAGCTTGGACTTGCATTTAAAAGCCTGCACTTGTTTCTCTTGCTCAACTATTACTTTATTTTTTAATTTATGTAGTTTCCTGTTTTTATAACAAGGAGTCTCAATCACTCCTGGTCTTGTAATAAAATGATAGCTTTACTGCAACATGAGCTCAGAAAAATCCTCAAAGTTTACTATCCTGTCTCTGGCAGCTGTACAGACAGAAAATGCAGTAAACAAATTCATTCCCTATAAATTCTGTTTACAGTTAGTTTGACAAGGTAACTGTTAGTGTTAAAAAATGCCTTTTAAAACTGTAAATAATTTGAAACAAACCTATTTAGCAGAGATAAAAATTTTAGGCAGATGTGAATATACATTCATGACTACCAAGAGATATACGTAATTACAGCTATTTAACAAGACTCTTTGCTGACTCTAGCAGGAAAAAAAATGAACCTCCTAGTCAGATTTACATAAACCTAGATCATCATTTACCACCAATATTCTGGATGAGTTCAGACTGTAATGATCAATGAGCAATGCTCTGTTGTCATACACTTGAGGGACCAGGCATTCATTTTTATACCTATGCCAAAAAGTAAAGAAAAAATTTTTATACCTATGTCAAAAAGTACAGTCCAAGCTTTTATTTCAATAGGCACTTACCAAGTAAATACTTAAAATTATTCCTTCCATACAGGAATAACTCTTTTCATGAACAGTGAAACTTCACATTTATCAATTTCATTACATTCTGTCCCAGAATAGACTGTCAAACCCACAGAAAAAGTGTATTTTTTTTAAATCCCACTCTTAGAGATGGGATCTTATACAATTTTTGATGGTCTTTACTTTCAAGATTCTTTGGATGTGGCACACACATCCCTTTCAAGGTGCTTACCCTATTTTAAGCCACTACTTCAATTAAGTGCTATTATTAGCTCTCAGATGACAGAACAGAAGCCTAAAACAGGAAGAGAAGCTCCCAACCTCCAGTCTTCCAGGGCAGGTTGTGAAATGGAGACTCAGCAAACAGCTTTTTATATTAAAGGAAGTCTATTCACTGAATGTTGTAGAAATCTAAGGGACACTTAAACATTCCCCTTACCTATTCCTACATATACATATTGTGACAAATACAGCAGTAAAATCTTGCTGAAAAGCTACGTAATATTACACCTACTTTTTAAAGTGACAAAGTTCAGTCATCTTTGCCTTCCTCCAGAAAGACTCCAGCTGTATTTCTGTTTATTACAAATCACTGCTATTTATATCTGCATTACTTGATCCTTCTAAGTAAGGTAGTTTTGCCACTGACATTTGCATTTTGCCTCATTTCTTTCATCCCAGCACAGCAAGTAGGAAAAGAGCTGAAACCGATCTTGTTAAACAAAGCAGTGAGCTGTGCACTTGAAATATCCTGGTTATTTAGTGCTGAGATCTCCATCAGTGGAGGGAATTGGTAACCTTGAAAATCACATTTAACAAGAATGCTAATGATAGCTCATCCTCAACAATCACCACCAACACATGGAGTGGGACACACTCTATATACGTGCCCAGATACATATCTAAGTGTATATACACATACAAAGAAAAGCATAAATGGATGTGTATATAAATCCTTTTCACAGTAATTTCTCTATCTTCAAAGCCGTAGGTTTCAGGTAACTATCACTATTGCATTTTCTGAAGTCATTTTTAGGGACATCAAAAGCCAAACCTTTTTTCCTATATTGAGCAAAATTTCTGTAAATGTGGTTTATGAAAGTTTAACCATAAAATATTCCAAGTACTTTACCTTCTCTCTACTTAAGGTCTCCTTTCAGGCAAGTTACTCAAAAAAAAAAGAGTGAAAAAGTTATTTTGCTTTCAGCAAACTTTTGTAAGTGTATTCTGGTAGGTGTTTTTTGATGGGTTTTGTTAGCTTGCATTTTATGTTGACCTCCCTTATCAGTACAAATTTTAGAATGAAATTAGACTTTCTCATTCTTAACTTTTTTAATCCTTTGACATGTAACTTCTGAGTTTCTAAAGGCAGACATTCATATAAACAATGCATATTCCTCTCTTCAATTACTTTTAAACAGAA